TTGAAGTTTTGTTTTTTGTTTTTTAATAATTTTATTATAAAAAATAAAAATGAGTCAAGGGTTTCCAATAATACATTTAGTCTCTCTGGGTTCATAGAATACCCATCATATAGCGGACGTGCGTGTGTGGTGCTGGTGGCTCAAACACCACTTCGCCACGTTCGTTCTTATAGTCCGCATAGGCCACAGCGTGGATGCACTGCATGCCCAAGGCCTGCTTTTGGCGTGCCGAGTAGAAGCTCGTGCAGTAAGCAACAAACAAGGGGAATCCCATCGTGCGACCCACTTCCATTGCAGCTGTGGTGAGTCGCGTGCCCAGTCCTCTGCCTCTCATTGACCTTTCCACGGCGGTTATGTGTGAGTAGAGAACCCTGGAGACTCCATGCCTCTTGAAGATATTCACTTCCGTTTCGATCTCAGACATGAACTTGTAGAATTTTCCGTACTTGTCTGCCATTAGTCGATGATTTTCCAGATCGCTGGGCACCTGAGCGCCTGCCAGCACCACACCGACAATCCTATTGCTCTCGCTCTCATCCACAGCCACGACACAGGTATTCTGCTCGACCATGGATAGATGATATGCATCCTGCTCTTGCTCAAAGTGTGTCTGCATATTCTTACCAGAGATCATGCACAGTGGCTCGTCTAGATAGAACGTTCTACCCAAAAGTTCTTTAACCTCTTTGTAGTCGTCCAATGTCATGGAGCGAATGCGAATTCCATTTACAACACGCGGTTCCATTGGATTATTATGTCTCTCATAAAGATGGCATTAAATTAGTTGGCAAAACCTTTATTAATCACTATTTATATAGATGATTTGATTCGTACGCGACTTTATATAAATTTCGGAATACGTGTTTTTATATAGCGCACGTCAACGAATACACTTGGATATAATGGTGTTTAGTTTCATATACGGTTTTTTATACCCAGTTATTGCTGAGTCTGCAAAGCTCAGCATTGGTCTATTACATATCTTATCGCTGAGTTTGTAAGACCTCGCGCTGGTCTCTTAGTTATTCTTATCATATCGCTGAGCTTGTTATGCTCAGTCTCTCACATATTATGTTGCTGGGGTCGCTAGAGTTGGCGTTTAGCTGATTATTTATAGAATCAATAAAGTCAAGTGCATAGGTAGCATGTATACGATACTCGTATATTTGTATGTTCATGCCTAAACAGCACTTTTCTTCACCCTTATCATGAATGATTAAATACTAATAAATAATATACCAAGAACATTCTGTAATCTATTTTGGCATTTGTTAAGCACTGCATAATTAAGATAATCAGACATTTAAATTAAATTAACTAAATAAATTTAGAAATAATAATAATTTAAAAAGGTATGGTTATAATTGAACAGTTCATTATTTTTTGAAACACTTATACTAAATAAATAAAACAAGATTTTTAGTTGAAATTGAATTGAGATCGTTTCAATTTGTGAGAATCGCGTAGGAAGGCAACATATGAATATATAAATAGCACTTGAGAGAATGTCAGTAACATTAATTAAATTATTTTAGATAATGAACAAAATATTTAATAAGATTTACTTTAACAAATGAAAATAGCTTTTAGTCAAAATTGAAAATATAATCGCATGTATAGATAACGTTTAAAGTAGATAACGGTACAAGAACAACTCACCGTGCTTTACGAACTGTTTGTCTGATCCCAATGTGATAAAATGCAGATGGCAAATCTATTTCATAGACCTACCTGAATTGTATGTATTTTGTTAAAAATGCTCATTTGCTTAGAGCTGAAAAGCAGAGATAGAGCAAGCATCAGTTTTCATCATAAATCATTAGAGGTAAGCGCGCACCTACCCCAAGCCCGACCCTATTAACCCAATCAACCTATCCGCCTCTCTTGCAGCCCAAGCAGCAGCTGGCGCTTGCCGTGAGGCGAACGGTACTGCTCCGGTCGCCGGCTCCTGCGACGCCTACATCGAGTGCAAGAATGGTGTGGCCGAGGAGAAACTGTGCCCCGACGGCCTGCTCTACAACGAGAAGTCCACCGGCTACCCCTGTAGCTATCCCATCGACGTGGAGTGCACTCAGCCTCAGGCTCGTCTGCAGGCGGCCCAGCCCACGGACGAGTGCCCCCATCAGTTTGGCTACTATCGCATGGGAGATGCGAGCCATTGTGGCCAGTTCATGAACTGTGCGGCGGGTCGCGGCTTTGTCTTCGACTGCCCCGAGGGCCTGGCCTGGAACCCAGCCACCTACAAGTGCGACTGGCCCGATCAGGTCGAGGATTGCGATGCTGAGGCCTTCCTCGGCTTCCGTTGCCCACCCCTGGCGCCCAAGTCGGATCTGCTGGGCGAACAGGAGCAGGACTATACCTTCCATCCGTCACAGGAAAACTGCCAGGTGTACTTCATCTGCATTGAGGGTCGCCCACGTCGCATCAGCTGTGGCGAGGACCAGGCCTTCAACCAGGAGCTGAACCAGTGCGACGACATCGACAACGTGCCCAACTGCAGCAGCGACATTCGTGCCAAGGGCGCTGAGATCAAGGCGGCGCGCGCCTCAGCAGCTGCCGGTCGTCGCAAGCTGAACTAAGCGAGCGGGAGGGAGAGCGAAAAGTTGAATCAGATTCTAGATAGGCAAAGCATGCACAAGGCGCTGCTCGAGTTTTCTAGTCTGTAGTTAAAGGGCGGCCAATGCCCATTTATTGTATACCTTTTGCCATTCACAATAAACAGTTGTCATTTTTGTACTCAGTTTGTAAATCAAGTCTTTCGTTTTGTCCCAGTTAAAAAGTCGCAGAAATTTCCGATTCTCTTTCAACTCCTCAACTCTCTTCTACTTACAGCCCTTGGCTCGCCCGAGTGTCCCTCGCCCAACGGACGCTTCGCTTCCGGTGACCAGTGCGATGCCTACACGGAGTGCCAGGACGGTGTGCCTGTGGAGAAACTCTGCCCGGACGGCCTGCTCTTCCACCAGCGCACCAAGTCGACGGGCGAATGCACCTATGCGCCCTACTCCACCTGCAAGGAGCGCACTCGTCTGCAGCCGGCGAACGGCACAGAGGAGTGCCCACGTCAGTTCGGCTTCTATCCGAATGGGGATGAGACCAAGTGCGGTGTCTATCGCAACTGCGCCCATGGCGTGGCCAGCCTGACCAAGTGCCCCGAGGGCTTGGCCTTCAACGAGGAGACCTACCAGTGCGACTGGCCCGATCTAGTGGCCAGCTGCAACGCTGAGGCCTATCTCGGCTTCAACTGCCCCGCGTCTGAGCTGGTCGATGGTGCTGCTCCCGAAGTGGACGTCAGTCCCGAGGGTGAGCTGCGCTACTATCGCCACCCGCAGACGTGCAAGAAGTATTTCGTCTGCGTCAATGGACATCCGCGCCTCTACAACTGCGGCAAATACCTGGCCTTCAATGCCCAGTCGAAGCTCTGCGACTTCTACAGCAAGGTGCCCGAGTGCTACGCCCTGCTCAAGGAGAAACAGAAGCTGAAGGCCGAACGCAAGGCCTTGCTGTAAGCCCTAAATATCGGGAGTAAAGAGTTGAAGAGTTAGAGGCTGACTTTCAGAGAGGCTGACTCGCTCCTTTGTAAGTGAACAGACTTGTGCAGCTTTGTTTCATAGACACCTATCCTTACCCACTAGCATAGCGTCTATATGTCTATTGAATAAATTAATAAATCTACACATTAACGTCTTTTGTAAAAAAGTATTTTTATTGAATTCTGTCAATTATTATACTCAAATACTAATGTAATCCATTCGAAATACACAATGGAGTCCGTGTCCAGCGAGCATCGTCAAGGATTGGACTACGCAAGAGTTATTATCATACGAACATTGTTTAGGGAGATACACGATTGACGTTCGACGTCCTACACATGCATACACTCTTATTTTTGGCGAACCTCTGCACAAATACCAATGCATACATAAAAGACTTTTTACTTCATGGAACTCAAACTCAAACGGTCGAAGAGAACCCAGAGTGGAGCGGAATAGGAATAGGCGCTCTTACTTTTACCCTCTTACTCTCTATTATTTTTCTTTAGTGTAATCTATGTATGAGAGGAATCGAATGAATACGCAATAAAAAATGTTGATCAATAAATAATGAAATTCTTGTCTTCTTCATTTCAAAGGGGCAGGTTCGCTGGCAGTTAATGTTCAAAAATTAACGGCCAGAAATTGTACTGTTGAAAGAGCCATTGCAGATCTTGGTGGGACGCTGCTCTGGCTGTTATACTCTGAACGGTTAACAAAACGAAATATGTTAGCTAATAGTGATCACTAACTTGAGTTAACATGACATTGTTAGTTAACATGATTTTGTTAGTCCATTGTTAATGAGCATAATTCTGTTAGCTCTCTGTAAAATGAGAGCGAATTAACAGTCTACAGACTAATATTCACCCTACAGCTCATTTCTGTTTGCCTGGTACTTTATGAAAATTCCTATTAAAGTTTTAGAGGTACCAGGCGAACAGGAATGAGTAGTAGGGTGAAAAATGCATAACAACAGTGGGTTAACTTAACCCAGATTGTGTACTGTTAATTAACATAATTATGTTAGCCCTCTGTAAAATGAGAGCGAATTAACAGTCTACAGTCTAATATTCACCCTGCAGCTCATTTCTGTTTGCCTGGTACTTTATCAAAATTCCTATTGAAGTTTAAGAAGTACCAGGCGAACAGAAATGAGTTGTAGGGTGAAAAATGTCCGATAACAGTAGAGTAACATAACATTGATTGTGTACTGTTAATTAACATAATTATGTTAGCTCTCTGTAAAATGAGAGCRAATTAACAGTCTACAGACTAATATTCACCCTACAGCNCATTTCTGTTTGCCTGGTACTTTATCAAAATTCCTATTGAAGTTTAAGAAGTACCAGGCAAACAGGAATGAGTAGTAGAGTGTAAAATGCATAACAACAGTGAATTAACTTAACCCAGATTGTGTACTGTTAATTAACATAATTATGTTAGCTTTTTGTAAAATGAGAGCAAATTAACAGAGTACAGACTAATATTCACCCTACAGCTCATTTCTGTTTGCCTGGTACTTTATGAAAATTCCTATTGAAGTTTAAGAAGTACCAGGCGAAGAGGAATGGGTAGTAGAATGTAAAATGCATAACAAAAGTAGATTAACTTAACCCAGATTGTGTGCTGTTAATTAACATAATTTTATTAGCTCTCTGTAAAATGAGAGCGAATTAACAGTGTACTGTACTGCACTGTCAACTACATGTTTTCACCCTACAGAACATTTCTGTTTGCCTGGTACTTTATCACAATTCCTATTGAAGTTTTAGAGGGACCAGGCGAACAGGAATGAGTTGTAGGGTGAAAAATGTCCGATAACAGTAAAGTAACATAACATTGATTGTGTACTGTTAATTAACAAAATTATGTTAGCTCTCTGTAAAATGAGAGCGAATTAACAGTCTACAGACTAATATTCACCCTACAGCTCATTTCTGTTTGCCTGGTACTTTATCAAAATTCCTATTGAAGTTTAAGAAGTACCAGGCAAACAGGAATGAGTAGTAGAGTGTAAAGTGCATAACAACAGTGGATTAACTTAACCCAGATTGTGTACTGTTAATTAACAGTGCACAGTTTAATATGCACCCTACTGATCATTGCTGCTCGCCTGGTACTTTACCAAAATACCGATTAAAGTTTGGGGAGTACTAGGCCAACAGGAATGAGTAGTAGGGTGAATAATATTTGATAAGAGAAGATTAACATAGTGCTGTTAGTATATTGCTAACTAACATAATTATGTTACCTCACTCTAAAATGAGAGCGAATTAACAGTGTACTGTGTAATATTATCCCTATTGATCGTTGCTGCTTACCTGGTACTTTACCAAAATTCCTATTGAATTTTAAGAAGTACCAGGCGCACAGAAATGAACAGTAAGGTGATAACAGTAGCTTAACACAACACTGATGACGTACTGTTAATTAACATAATTATGTTAGCTCACTGTAAAATGAGAGTGAATTATAGAGTACTGACTTATATTATTAACCCTACTGATCGTTTCTGCTTGCCTGGTACTTTACCAAAATTTCTGTTCGAATTTTGGTCCCAGCAACCACAATCGTCGCCTCATGACCATGCAACTATTTTATTTTCAGCTCTAGTTTAAATATAAATCGGATGTAACAGCTGAATGTTACCTCAAAATAACAGCATTAAGCAAACTAAACTTCTTGGCTATTCCAATGGCAATCCAATTTTCAACATAATTTAGATGACTGACTTGGATTATACGCGATAATTTCATTTCCCTCTTCGAACAACTGCGAATCCCAAAACATTTCAGATAAAATAAAATACACATTTGTTTAGGTTTGTAAGATTTAAATTTTATTTTTATCATTGTTTGTTTTTGGTTTATTAGTTAGTTTTTACTGGTTGCTTATTTTGTATTATTATAATTAATTGGTAGATTAGTTCGAATTACTTTATTTGAATTTTACATAGTTTTCCGACTGCCAACCTTTTACACACATACATATGTAGCTATGTGTAAACATATATATGTATATATATATATATATTAGAGATTACTTTAAACTTGACTCATCTGCCGCTGCTATACAACATCATTGTTTGTTTGTTTGTTTGTTTAAACAATTCCAGTTTAGAGAGAACTAATGTTAAATTAATTTGTTTTACATTCAATTTGTTGTTTTGCTTCTTTTCTTGTTAGTTTTTGAAATAAATCTAAGCTCGAATTTTTGTTATTAAAAACATGTCTCTGTTATCACTAATTAACCAATTGATTTTTGTAAAATTTATTGGAGTTGCTTAAACTAAACGATCCTAAGATCCGGTTATTATTCCATCTCTACCTTATTCCGTTTCCTGCTTTCGCGTCATTTCTTTTTTTTTTTTGGCTATAAAAATTAAGTTACATTTATTTTTTTGTTTGAACTTTTTGCACTATTTTTTTCTGCATGTGTGTGAGTGAGTGAATGTGTGTGTGTTTTTTAAATTACAACAAATAATTGATATTTAAGTTTAAGTATTTTGCATTAGAGTACGATTTTTTGTTTGGTTTACAAATTTTTTCTTACCGTTGCAATTTTTTGTTAGTTTTTGTTTTAGTTTCATTTTGTTTGTGGTGCTAGGCTAAGGCGACTTTTGTTTGGTTGTTTCACTTTGTTTGTTATTTTTTTCATTTGTTTTCGTTTTATGTGTTTTACATTTTGCAATATATTCTTTTCAACATTAGTTTCATCTTTCTCTTCTGTCTCTGTTCCTGTTTCTGTTTCTGCTGTCCATCGTCCAGTTGTCTCTGTTTTGTTTCCTAATTATCTCATTCCTCGTTTTGATACAAAAAACATTGAATTTGCATTTGATTATCGAAGGAGAACCGAAAAAGTCGAACAGAAAACTCTGGCAAAACGTTTATTGATTGCAAACAAAAATGAAAACAAACAACAAATTATTAAAATTAAAATTAATTATCTTTCGTTTCGTTAAGTCGTTACAATTTGTGCTAGAAATTCGGCTATTAAAATTATTTATGTTCTTACAACGCCTCCAAATACACTTTTTGTTTTCTTGAGAAAAGATTTTCACATTGTTTCGTTTCATTTTCATTTCGTTTCGTTTCGTTTTTGTTATCGTATTTCGTATCGTTTTTTTTATACTTCTTTTGTTTTTCATTTAACATATTCAGTCTTTCAGCTTTCAACATAAATAAATTAATTAAATTAATTTATTTAACTGCATTACAAAATGTTTCAAGTGCTGCTGCCTGTAAATAATTTCGTGTTCTATTGCATTTATGTGGTAATTTCCGTTGTCTGCCTTACGTTGCGCTCATTTTAAAGTTTATAGCCAAAAAGTTGCGACTTCTCGCAATTGGAGAAAATTTTGACAAAATTTCTATCCTTAGTCGAAGTTGGTTGTAAAAGCCAAAAGTTTTGCTTGCTTGATTAAAAGTACTTAACTTAATGCTAGGTTTTTTTCTTCTTATTTTTTACATATTTATTGTAATAATTATACATATATATTCAAATATATATATATATATGTTGGAAATATTTCATTCATATCATCTCAATCTATCATCATCATCTTCTTCTAATTCTTTTACTTCTCTTAGATGCGCTGCGGTGTCTCATAAACTGCTTAGTCTTTCGCATTTCTTTTTTCGGTTGCTAAATTTAAAAACTTTTCAAGTGGACGTTCGCTGGCTTCAATTTGGATTTCCATTTTCATTTCGATATCGATTTTCATGAAATTGTTTCTTTTTGGGGTTATTCGAAAATGTTTTTTGCTTAAATTTAATTTTCATTATTATATACTCGTATCGTATGTATAGTAAATATATAAAATTTTGTGTCCAAATTTAGTTGTTTTTAGGAGTTTTCATTTTTGCTTTTTAAACCTGAAACTTAAATAACTCTTCAGAGCCTCAGATCGCAATTGGAATGAAATCACAAATATTCTGAATCTTAATCGGCTTTTTAGATATTTTTTGTATTTTTCTTTATTTTTATTTTTTGTATATGTAACTTTTTGGGTGGGGCTTACGTTTATCATATGCTATATAGGTATATTTTCTTGATTCCTTCATCGCTCAACATAAAAAATTGTTGTCAAACTGATTTTATTTATATTTTTTAAATACTTTTTCTTTTAGCTTTTCTTACTGTAAGTATAACCGGTCTCTTGTATTTTTTGTTAAGGCAACTGCTTTTTTGTTACAGAATTTGTAATTTGTATTTGTAATTTCTTGTTTTTTGCTTTCTTTTGTTTTTTACATGTGAAACTGCATTTTGAATTTGAATTTTGTTGCTCAAGTTTTGCTATTTGAAAGAAATGGATAAATAGAGATAATTCTTCTTAAAGCATATCATAAGCTGCCAAAATGTGTTTTCATTTTAGTTGGACTCCTAAAAACAACGAAACGTTTTTTTTTTGGTAGATTTTGCCATACGCAAAAATTTTGCTGTGCCTTAAATTTTAGTTTTTTTTTTTTTTTTTTTTTTTTTGTAAAGTGGAATTTTCGTTTATCAATATTCTACAGATTTCATATATTAAATGTTTTGGTTTGTTTTTCTTTTAGCCATCAAATTTAGTAATTTCTTAATTTAGATTAAAATACTTTTTATCGTAAGTCGAAAAGAAAATATTAAGTGCTTAATTTTGTTGCCTAAATTTAATGCAGTTTACAATGCGCAAATTTATTTTTTTTACGTTTTTTTTTCCTTTTCGTTTAACGCATTTTTTATTTCTTTTCTGGCATGTTGTTGCTGCCTGTTCACTTAAATCTAAAAATAAGTGTTAAAATTATGCTGTATACTTTCAACAATCTATTTTTATAAGGGTAAAAAAAAATGAAACAAAAACAAAGATTTAAAATTGTATAAAACTTTAATGGAGTTTTTGGTTAATTCATAAATTTAAATTTAATACAAGTCAAAAACTTAACTTTGATAAAAAATGTATAATAATATGAGTTTGTTTAAAGCAATATGAAAATCAACAAAAATCTGTATGTACTTTAATTATACTAAATGAAAACGTAAAGCAAATTATAGAATTATAGAAAATATCGTTAATGGAAAACTGTCACTAGGGATATATAATATTCTCTGTTATATATCGTATAAACTTCTTTAGTCCATTTGGGCGTCGCTGTATTAATGGAACTTTCGCTTTTTGCCGCCACGTTTCTTGCCCTTGCCGCGTGTCTTGGCCAACTTGCGTTTTCTGCTTGAGCCATCGCCACGCAGCGCCGACTCGCGATTTATCTCGCCCAGTATCTCATCACCCAGAGTGCCTTTAACGAGATAATCACTGTAGATATATAGCTGACTTGCGTATAGGCTGTTGCTGTCACTTACCCAATGTGGTGAGCTTGCGTTGACGATGCTTCTCGGCTTTAGTCACTGGCAGACGCATCAAGTAGGTCTCCTCGTACTCCTGCTTCTCCTTCTGCGCCTGCGAGAGCAGTTGCTGGGCACGCGAGCCCGACGACAGCTCTGTGGGCGCATCCAAATACTCCTCCTTCAAGTCCTGCAGCATCGATGAGCTGGAATCGAATTCAATTAGTGAGCGTTTATTATGCAGGCGTGTTAAGTGCGTGTCTCTTACGTGATGGCCCGCTTCTTGGCACGATCCAGGGCCTTCTTCTCTTTGTCTGCCTCGCGCTCATCGCCATCGTAGTAGACGGGCTTGATGCGTGGCGGCACATAGATGCCCGATTTGCCAGCTGTGGCCGCTTTGCGTGGCTTTTTCGCAGCTCCTCCTCCTTCTTCCTCATCGTCCTCCTCCTCCTCGTCACTGTCGCTGGCTGCCCCATCGCCATCGTTCGCCTCATCATCAGCGCCTGCAGCACTGAGCATGTCCTCCGGATTTGGCTTGTAGAGTATGGGATCTGTGCTGCTCGACACGCCTGTGGTCGCCGTCTTCACCAGCTTGTCGATCTGATAGCGCAGCTTATAGTCGATGGGCCGTATCTTCTCGAGCACCGTGCGTATCTCAATCAGACGCTCAATGGAAGGATCGCCCTCAATGGTCTCGCCGGAGCACTTGCGCAGCACCACATACGTCAGGTTAATCAAATAGTCGAGCAGCATGTGATATTTGACCTCCAGAAAGCTCAGGCCATACTCTGTGCTCAGCTCACCCCGCTTGACGCGCTGCAGCATGCCCTCGACCAGATCCGTCACCTGCTTCACATTGCTGTTCATCTCGCCCAGCAGCTGTATGGCCTGCGGTATGTCCTGCTGGCCCTGCATCTCGCAATCGTAATCCAGTGCCTGAGCGAGTCAATAGCAAAAAGAAAATATTCATTATTGAAATAGTTGAGAATTTGTTAGATATTAATTATAATTATTAGCTATTCTGATTTAAGGCCTCTTTGAAATGTCGTTTAGGTGTTAAGTAGAATAGACGTGTTCTCTTTTATGTTATTTACTGAAAATATTAATTAATAATATTTATTTATTTATCTTGAATATGATATCCAATCAAATACGAAGCAATGCTATGAATGCTACGGAAACTGTGACAAGTCGTTCAGGAGGCGTATCTCTAAATTCCTTTAAAGCGATTAAACAACCTCTTTCCATGTCAGTATTAAATCACCAAATAGTTAAGCCTGAAATATAATATGTGAAACTACACTAATGTCGAAAAGTTTATTTTCTTATTGCATGGGCCGCTACTAAAATATTAAAATTTTTAATTTAATATTTAAATTTAAAAGGATTTTAAAGATCTAAATAATTTGGTTTTTAATTAACATTTTTTTAAAATCCTTTTTCAAGTGCTCTAAAAAAACTTAGTTCAACATTTGGTGTACACTCGCATTACTACTTTAATAAACAAAGATGTGGTTAATAATAATAACAGCTGAATCAGTTATTCTATTTAAGCAGCACCGACTTTTATTTACACCTTCAGCTAGTTAATTAACCAAGCTATGCACTAGCTTGGGATTCTACATTTATACGTTTTTTATAAATGTGGAATATTCATATATGAGAGCTTGTAGTCAACGGCCTGTGTTAATTAATTAGAGTGCTATACAACGAGATATTATAGAAGTCATAAGAGCCACACTTGCATCGTAATCTTAAGAGTAGAATTTGAAGTTAAAGCTCTACAAGCGGGAATGTCGTTCTCCCTACCAGTACTTTCCCTTTGTCTTTGTTGTAAAATTTCTGCAGTCAGTGGAAGAAAGTTGTTTACTATTAAACACTTTCTCTTCATTCTGAAAACAAGGTAGTATATATCATCATCTATATATAGTTGAATAATAGCCAGATAATATTAAATAATATATAAGATGAGGATGATATAATATGATATTGTTTTTTTAAGATTTACTCATTGCTTCTGACCGACCTAACTGTCTTTGAAGTAACTTGTACAACTTTTGTTTATCTTTACTGACATATACATCATATTTACTGAACCGTACAATCAAATATATTATCTGAATTATTATAAAAATGAAATTCTATAATCCCTAACATCCTAAACTAACATATGAAACTTTGCCTTTACTCTTGGACTGTTCCAGCTGGATGAGATTTACAGCTCCGATCAAGCCTTAATTGTCTCAATATTAACTGCTCAATTGGCTTACCAGATCCATTATAGAGCACAGCTGAATGCTTACTTAACATATGGAAATACAACAAATTGATATTTTCGTCTAGTACAACATACAAATTTGCAGCTGAACATAAATACATAAATAAACAAATATATACACAGACATATGCATATTGTATATTGATTATATATTTACGCATGAATCAACCGCACTTGTCATATGCACATGGATATGTGTATGTGTATGTGTATGTGCATGTGTATGTGCATATGTATATCTCTATATAGTGCATATAATCAACTAATTAGGCTTGCAACCAAAATAAAATCCGTTAGCCAATCGCTAGCATGAGCGCGCCTCGCAGCTATCTCGCTCGCACTCGCTCATTGGCCTGTCATTATATTGGCCATATTTTGCAGAAAAAATATATTTTCGGTCCGTGCAGGAAATTAAATCTGCTACGCAAATACACGAATAATATGTTTAGTATATGAAATGCCACAATGTGGGGATGGAGGAGGAGTCTCCACTGCCAGCGACAACCTCGGCTGCATTTCTATGTGCATATCCTGCTCCACCTCCTGCTCTTGCTGCTCCTCGTTGCTGCCCCGCGCTGCTGCTGTTGTTGTCCTCTCTGTGTGTTGTGTGCGCGACACCGCGAAACTCATTTGCATATTTTATTGGTTGCCATTTAATTATTTGCATTTTACTGAATTTGCAGGGCCGCCAAACGGCCACGCCCACAGTGGGAGGCCTCCCTTTGGACAGACCTCTGGCCGGCGCAGCTTATGCTGCATTTATTTTCAATTAATATTAATAAAGCATTGCATGCAGACTGGGGGAGTGGGCATGGCACTGGGCGTAACTGTCAACTATCCTGGCTCGCAAATAAATATATATATATATATAGACATACATATGTATGTATTTTTTCAACCATTCATTTGGGCTTTTGTCCTTCTTCTTTTTTCGCTGGCTATTTGTGGTTTTTGCCACATTTTGCACTTTACAAAAGCAATTTACCAAATAATTATTTTGATAACAAATTTATTATTATAGTTTGGTTACATTTTTTTTTTCTTCTCATTTTCATTTTGAGTGTTTTGTTTGGTTTTACGCATTTTTGGCATATTTGCATATTATTGGCAAATTAATTTAATTGGATCTGCGGACAGACATTCTGCATAACAAATTGCGGCTGCTCAAATGGCGGACGGGAAATGAGATCTAATTAAACCGCATGGCATTCCCGTGTCGATAGTTCTTTACATAATTCGACGGATTAAGTATGTATAAATGAAAAAGCAATCAATCCCCTAATTAAATTGATTGGCACAAATGGAATTTATTTTACATGTTTAGATATACCATATAGTATATATATATTCGAGTTCGAATATATATCTAGCTAGACATTTTTGAATTTAAACTAAACCCGAATGTTTTTCTTTACAAATATTTTTAACCATATAATGAACTCAATTAGTATAGGTTAATAAAGTTTATAAAATAAATAAATAATTAATAAAGTTTATAAAATTTGACAAAAAGTTTGATAGATAATATAAGAATATATTGTTTTCTTGAAATCCCCCCATGGTCTATCTTGTAATATATATACGCTAAGCGTATATAATTGACCGATTTCTTTGTATTTCGTCAGCATTGGATTCTATTAGGCCTCAAGACTTGAATTTGGTCTGAGAAAAAAGTACATTAGAGAGAAAAAAGTAGGCAACATATTTTTTTCTTATATTTGGTAAGCAATTGATTGAGATGGAGGATTTATATGTATATTGAGAAATATATAAGCACAGTTACGGATTACAAAATTATAGATTTAAGCATCTTTAAAGTTATGGAAAAAAAAGGAAAAATGAAAAAAAGAAAAATATATATATATTATATAGGTATACATTCATATCCGTCTATAATAACTTAGATGATATATATTCATTATTTCCCTATTGCTAATCCTACTACATTGTTAATTTATGCAGATGTCAAAATGCAAATATATTTTTGGTACCAAAGTGTTATTGACGCGTTATAAAGCTGGCCAATATGAGTTTGCAATTAAGCCGCTGACACGGACTTGACCAGTCGAGCATTATCTGTCGCCCCGTCCCTTTCTCTCTCTCTCTCTTCCTCATTCCATGCAGGCATAATAGAGGATAGGGCTGCTCACCAAAAAAGGCGTTGAATAAAATGCGCGCATATTTTAGGCGACAGCCAATGCAATAACTTTAACAGCCTGGCAACAGCGCATAGACAACAACAATAACAACAGCAATAAGGCGAATACAACATATGACGATGGCAATTCATTTTACAGCAAAAACTGCCCCAAACCCTAACCGCAAAAGCCGGCTGCATGCGTATAACGACAGCCGATTCTAAACTCAGCAACAACAACAACAACAGCAATAACAACTGTAGTATATAGCAGTGCCCAAGGCAATTTACAACAAAATGGCAAACTAACACACAGACGAACACTCTCACACCCTCACACGTCCACACACACGCATTGAGCTTGCTGGGCATGCAGCGCCCTCTAACGGCCGAATGATTTAAAATTCGCACTGCGATTCCAGCAACAACAACGCCGAATTAACGGAAATGACAACCAAGCTAAAAATACGCTTGTTGTTGTTGTTGCTCGTTGTTATGGCTGTTGCTGCGCTTGTTGTTATTTCTTTTGTTGCCCGTTATTTGACCATGCTGACTGCGCGACGCCCGTAAGTGAGCAGCGCAGCGACTTCAATTCAATTGCAGCGCAATTTTCGCAATTTCGCTTGACTCTCGTGCTGTCTCTGTCTCGCTTCTATTCTGCGATTAATCGCGAAATAAAATATGAATTATAATTCGTATCGCGCAGGTTATGAAAATTGTCGAAATTGCACGGGTTACACCCCCTCTCCCTCTCCCATGCACGCTGTCATTCAGCTAATTTTAATGAGTATGTTTGCAGTCATCATCGCTCTCCCTCTTTAGCCCCACTCTCGCTCCCAGGCTGTCTCTCTCTTTCTCTCTCCTTTGTCGGTGTCTGTGCTGCGGTCTCCTTTGCAATTATCATCGAGCGAAATTTTGCTGAATTTTTCATTTTCATTTTTGGCCTGTTCTTTGGCATTAACAACATAAATAAATGCATGCATGTTTGCGATAATTGCGCAAAATGCATTGCATATTTATAGGCGCTTAAATGTACCTTTTATATATAGTTGCATATATAGATTTATGTACATATGTATATACATTATGTACATTGTATATATGTATTTTGTATTTTGTATATCTGTATTATATATCGATATTTATATATAGAGCTACATCTGCTGTTTGTTTGCTCGGTTGCTATTAGCCAATGGGAGCAGCGAATTCTGAAACCAATTCTATTTTTTAGGACGTTTTTTAATAAACATTTAATTGATATTCTGCGCAGACTATATACGGTTTTTTTTCAGGAATGGTCAGTGGTAGGTATATAAATATATATTTAATATACAATTTATTTACATTATAAAGCCTGAATGAAAATAACTACAAACTATTAAAATTTTTTTTATCAACATCTTTATAAATATAATCATTTAATTAATAAAGTATTTATATTATTCAATATTATTAAAAACTACATATTATAAAAGAATTTTCTCGAAAAATTGGATACCCAATATTAACGTATATACCCTTGGGCTT